CCGCCTCGCGAAGGATAATGGATAAAATTTCATTACCATGAGCGTTATTGCCAGCTTGTCGAGAGGCTTTCAGCAATCGCAGACGATTTATCAGCTCGTTGGGATCGTCCCAGTGAACATAATCGATCGCATTATTGTTCAGTATCATGGTACACTGTGTGGCTAAACCTCTATCCGCCATGTTGATCGATATACCAATCATTAGGGGTGCAATTATGTTTTTGTATTTGTATCCCCTGTTACTCAATATGGGTTGTAGCGCGTTGTGATTGCGTCTGTGGGCATTCGTCGCCAGTAATTTACTTTTATATTTTTGTTTATCGGCCTCCGTGTAGACGGCATCGTCGGGAATTCTTTTGAAAATCAGCTCGTATAGACCAGATGTTCCAGCGTACTTTACACCACCAATGATTATATTATCGTCGATATCCATGTCGAAACTTTTATCGCCGAGCTTCGTTCCATCACTGCTGAAATACACACCGTAGTCTATGATGGTATGTTTGTCGCTGCTTAAGACTGCTCCCATGTATTTTTGCCCCAGTGGACCAAAATGAGTGCGCAAAGTTTCCTGCCCCTCGGACGTTTGCAGCTCACGTCTAATCGATGTTACGAGTGAATCACCAGTGGTCTCGAAAACATCTTCACTATTGGTGGTCAGAGTAGCGCGTGGCGGAGGCATTTCGCGCAATTGTGTATGATGCAAGTTGTCTGTGGAGATTATCGTAGGAGAATCCGTCGCGGCGTTTGATTTTCTCCGCTTCCCGTAGATCGGTGTAGAGGCGACAAGTAAGCGTTTGGCTCTGCGCTTTGGTTTCTTCTCATCGATCGATAACGCATCATTTCCCAGTATGGTGGATGCGTCAGGTTTCACATGAGTTGTATGTTCCACAATCTGTCTCAGAGGCTCGATAACAGGTCGAAAGTGTCTTTCCAACGCAGTATCTTCCTCTATCTTACCGGTTTTCAAAGCACGATATTTCTTACGGATCGATTCGCTCGTTTTCGTAATTTCCTTCGCCATCTTCTCGCCATCTTCAATCTCTGAGTCGCAAATCACTGTGTAATCTGACATCACCATTACGACGTTTCCTCGTTAACGCACAAACGACAAATGGTGACGTTACGGTATTGCAAAATCGTTAAATCCTCGTCGATATCGTCCATTGGTCATAGAACTGTCCTTGTCTATCACTACGAAACCATATTTTTGCTGCCAACATTCGCGACACAGCGCATAAAAATCTTCGTATGTCATATCAGTGTTCACGTGATCTTTGTACACGTGTTTTAGATTGGTACCATCCTGCTTAAAGAGAATCAGCAGATTCGCATTATCCCGTATAAGATGCTTAGGTATCTTTGCATACGTCTGACAGAGATAGAAACAGTCGACGTTCGAGTGACGACCCATAGCAAAGTATTCTCTTATCGTATCTTGTTTGTCACACGCCACGTCATCAAAAACAAAAATGGAATTTGGCAGCGCTTCGTTCGGCGGGACGACATCGATGTTATTGGAAAATGTAAAAAAGCCAATTTCGTCTATCGACGCAAACAAATTCTCCAAGTAGCGATATTTCGGCTGTTGCAGTAATTTCGAGTACATGTACAGATTCTCGAAACGCAGGCCGTGTGGTTGCTCTCCAACAGGCTCATCAACACATTCGTCTTACCACAATTCGAGGGGCCACATACGATACCGCGTATGGTAATCGGTAGCAAATGGCCATACTTACGTATGATATTTTCGGACGCTACTCGCATTCTATCATCGAAATTTTTCACGCGTGTCGGTGTCGGTTGTCGTATGAACCTCATATCGCTTCAAAATGCTCCATTGGCACGCGGCAACTATTTATAGGGAAGCGCCGAATCGAATCCGTTCAGTCTCCAAAATGTTTCTTCTACTGTTGAATGCTTATGATATTCGAGACCTAACCTCCGAACAGTTGAAATATATACCGAAGATTGTTCTATTGCGCGAGTTTTCGTAGCATATTGACGTTTTGTGGGACAGAATCCCGGAACATATA